ACAAATGTGCGAGGCGCTTCCGGTATCTAATACCCACGACGTAGAAGTAAACAAATTAGCCCATATAATGAAGACAACAGAAGTCGAAGCTTCTTTAAGCTTCTTCTTCTCCTGATCTTCCACATAGAGTCTACAATTTTTGTTCCAATGCCCAACGGCATGACAGAAATAACACTCTTCCTTTTTGGACTTAGGCTTAGGTTCAATGATGTCCGGATCATCATCCACATGCTTCCAATAAGCATCAATGATCGATCTAGAAGCCATGGTTAGAGTCTTATCCTTCATAAGGATAGATCGCATCGTCAACTTCGGTACAATACCGGTTAACGCTGTGTCCTACAGAAAAAGACAAAACAGAACGAAAACACATCTACATGCAGATTCTATCAATGATCTACTACCAGCTAGTCCATCATCAATCAGTGTCTACATACCTATGATCTACTACCAGCTAGTCCATCATCAAACAGTGACAACATAGATGCAAAGATGAGCTATATTCCCATAAAGAAAACTAACCCTACAATAATTTTCTATATGGGACTAAGATCCGTATTTCACATAATAACAAGTTGTTACACCTATCCTTATGCTATTTAGGTAGACATCTAATGTCAATCATATCCAATATGACTCTTAGATCTTTTATGAGACTATGATATCGAATATCATTGCATACTTGTCTCATCTGTACCATTAAGTCTCAAGTCAAACTTGACAACTTAACCCAAGATAAACCATATTCAAGCTGTAGGAACCACGATTTCCTACCCTGCCTCACAAAGATAATCCGGCACGCTCAGCTTTGGCATGACCCGTGTTACGGATGATCGATGCCTTGACAGGTGCTCTAGTAATGGGAGGTACACACTTAGCTTTACATAAACAAGGGATTTTCGAAACCGTACCTAGATCAAGCATCTACTTTCAAGCTATGAGACTCACCATTTCTCCATCTTGCCTCACCAAGATAATACGGCACACCCAGCTTTGGCATGGCCCATGACACGTACGATCGAGGCCTTGACAAGTGCTTTACTTATAGAGCTTCTAGATCTAACCGGTTTCTGTGCAACGATTGTTCATAATCCGAATAGACCATCCATTCGATTATGTAATCCCAATCCCGGAGCTCCCACTAAATCAAGCATATCTAATATCTCGATTAAGTTACATGCATTCATTCACTATGGACCATCCATAAGAATAAATCATGTCTATTTGAGTCAAAGTTGATCAGATTATGCAAGATTGCGTAATCGGACCTCGAAAACGGAATTTTTCGGAATCTGGACTACGGACCGTCCGTTCTAGAGGTAGAACGGACGTTCCAGGCTGGCAGAACGTTCGGTCTCGAATGCAAAAGTCAGAACGGATGTTCTGCCTAGTAGAACGGACGTTCTGCATGGCAGAACGAACGGTCCAACCTTCCGTTCCGTGCCAATCAGTCCGTCACCCTTGGACCGTCCAGTCTGGCTTACCCAGAACGAACGGTCTAAGGTAGGCCTCCGTGATCAGATCACGTTTCCCCGCGTTCTCAGCCCCCGATCAGACCCGAAACCGATCCGAATTCTTCTGTACACCCAAAATTCGAACTCCTGCACTCTATGCAACATGAAACATGCAATCTACACTAGATTCAATCATCAAACATGCATAAATAT